ATTGTTTCAAATACCTTAATTAGATGAGAAAGTACATGAGTTGAGTGTGAGTGGATATTCATAAAGACGACTAATAGTCTCGTGTGCAACTAACAGCCCTACAGGCCTCTAATGACGGACCTTTAAAGAACATCACACAATATGTTTGCTTACCTATGATTTTTATCTATCTCTCTATAGCTCTACAGTCCTTTTGTTGGACCTTGGCCGCTTTTTTAGTTTCGTAATCCTATGCACAGTCGGTAAGGCTCCTCGGACAGGGGATCAGCCCGTCGCAAGTCCTCTACCTACACACAGAACAACACACACACAGAATAAAGGCACACAGACATCCGTATTTCGAGTGAGATTCTAACCCACGATCCCAGCGTTCCAGCGAGCGGAGACAGTTCATGTCTTAGACCGTGTGCCCACTGGGATCGGCGCTGATTTGCGATTTAGACCTATTTAATGTCACTGTCAGTAGCGTGAACTATACAGTACCGGATGATAAGTGAGTAGCAAACAATGAATTAAAAATGATGTGGAAGGAAGTGGTAGTGGCCTAATTTCAGATATTAGCCGGCTGTTTGCCTGCAGGAATTGAGGAAAGCCACGAAATCCCAATCGAAATAGCCGATTTTCTGACAGAGAATTAGACCCAGGGCCTCTTGATTGTGAAGTTGGAATGCTAACCACATGATAGCGACGGCCCTTCGTTAATACTTTCGGGTTTATGACCACTTCCCCATATGTCTTCATGACATGATGCTTAAGCACAGGACAGAGTTACATATGCTATATATACTACGTATGCTACCCTGACTTTCCATATTCTTGGCGCTACGTTCCAATTTTGATATACCCGGCCTCCACTGTACAGCTTCTTGAAGTCCTTGCTCACACAGCTGGTAAACCGCTTGGTTGAAGATTCACACCGTTTCAAAATCTCTACATTAGAGCCTGATTCGATCCCCCGATGTCAGAACGACTGTGGGGCCCAAAACAATTAACCCCTTAAAGCTTAGTAGTTCTGTATATATCACCCGTGCTTTGTATGGTTCTGACAGTAAACAGCGATTGTTTCCCTAAGCAACATTAACGTAATGCGTTTCCTGTGACGTACGAACTAAATTTTATATATTATGTAGAAGCTGCACGCATTCTTAAACTTTAGCACTAGACAGAGATGCATGGTTACCATCATGTTCTGCCCGGTTTACTGCAGGAGAAAACGCCCCCGGTATCCATTGAATAGGAGTCTGGGTGGGTCCCAGAAATAATCTGAAATCTGTGAAGAAGAAAAAAGTATTTGTTCCTAAACAGGTTTTGAACTGTACCAACTATACCGACTGAGCTATAATATTTTTGGTTGATATTCTGGACTTTGGCATTCTTTTCAGTGTATTTCAATCCATAGGGTTTTGGAAACTGCTTCTGTTTCCTCGATCAGCTGGCAGGATATAGTAACGACTTCTGCTCCGTAGGATTTTATTATCCGAATATATTCGGGCACATTGCTCGAGTCAGAGCACTATAGCTGACCGGCAGTTAACCCCAGCAACCGCACTGCTTTGCTGCCCCACACTGACTCGACAGTTCTAACAGTATCTCGCCTACATCAGCTCGCACAAACAATCAAACATGTACCTTCCATACAGAACATATGTTACTCGTTAGACGCACCAACAACAGTTTAATTCTAACGTCTAAATTATACTCGTATCACGTCAGTCTTGTTCTAAAATTGAATCGTTTAAAGCAAACTTTTGCCCATGTAGTCGCACTGCATTCATTTGCATGCATTTCAGTGTCATTCAAATCGAAAGCAAAACGTAGCCATACATTGTTTTGTGTAGTTCTGATTTTTTTCTTTTTCGTTCATCATTTTTGTTTTCTTTCCTTCGTAACAGGTTATAAAAGTCCTCATTTAAAATTATATACATTTACTTGCATGAGTGGCCGGTCACGGTAGCCGAGCGGTCTAAGGCATGCACTGTCTTCGCTCGCTCGGAAGCCGGGATCGTGGGTTCGAATCCCACTCAGGGCATGGATGTTTGTGTGCATTTTTCTGTGTTTGTCTACAGGTAGAGGCCTTGCGACGAGCTGATCACTCGCCCAAGGAGTCCTACCGTGTAAGATCTAGAAAAACCGAAGTGAACGGAGTTCATGGAGGTAGGCCGAGGCCCACTGGGGCTGTAGTGCCAAGGAAAAAAAAACTTGCATGAATGAGTTAGCTTAAACGCTACAAAATTCCAAAGGACGGCTTCTATTGTGAACTCTGTAAAGAGTTCATAAAACTTTCAGTTACTCGTAAAGTCCGTACATATATGATATACGTACTAAATCGAGTGTAAATCAGGTATATGACAGTGCAACAGCAGGAAGTCGAATAATGTTTTCGATGTCATGCACCTTGTAGATATACGCCTAAAAATGTATTGAGGCTCATTAAGCAATGCGGATCCTAAAATCAAATAAAATTAATGAAATTTGCGTGTGTCAATGCTCATATAATAGAAGTATCTCATGTCGGAAATTTTCAAAATGTGTCCAGAATCAAGACACATACAAAGGTTCTCTTAGGCCTTGAAGTAAATTTGCTCTTAATATGAATTATAAAATAAATAACAAATCCTATGTTGTAGCTAACACCGTTATGTAGCCTCTAAGTAAAGTTATCCATGAGATGAATTAGAGCGAAGGACACAAGTAACATTTCGTATTTCATTACTGTTATGTTTAGTGTGTAGTATGCTTATTTCTTTATTAATATTAATTTATATAATTGTAGTTGTAATTGTATTTGCACTGTTCATTGTGTGTAGTTTGTCCTATATTGTTTGTGTAGTTTTGTGCCCTGTGTTTTGTTTGAGCGTGATGTGTTATTCTGTGTGATGTGTGTTATATGTGTGTGTGGTGTCTTGTAGTACCACCGCAACCGGGTAAAACCCTATTTGCAGTTAAAAATAAAAATAATAATAATAATAATGGTGGTGATGATGATGATGATGATGATATGAGCCTTTCAGAAGTGAAGCATGTCAAGTTTAATCCTGCTGTGTCAAAGAACTCAGGAGATGCGCTTACACGTAAACTTAAGTCTTGAAGTAAAATGGTCCTGAAAGCGAGCCTAAAGGAACTAAAATCTGCATGACCGGACAAAATTGTAGTACGAAGAATTCTATCTCTTTGAATATAAAACCGCGCACTCCATTGACAGACAACTGACGTTTCGGAGGAACATATCTCTTCTATCTTCAGGGTCGAAGAATAAGCTAAGCAAGAAACCAGAATGAAGCAGACGTCAAGCTGCAAGCTGTAACGTCTGTTCACTTTCAACGGATTACAAGGAGTTACATCTCAGAAGATATAACTCTTCATAACCACCGCTGTCAGAACCTCAAATCCTACACAGTTATAAGTGCTATAATGACAATGTAAAGCTAAAAGGTATCTAAACTCGGACTAGAAGAAGATTAGTGGTCAGCTTCACGTCTCGTCCCCATTACCACCTGGGAAGGAGTAGCCGGCATTCTGGCGTGCGTTGAATTGAAGACTAGGTGAGTTCCGAAGCCGGTTTGGACGGTGTGAAGAAGGGAAAAATTATTTGCCTTTGCTCAGAATCGAACCCTGAACATGGTTACACAGCCCGTAGCCTAATCATTTAATTATTGAACTGAGTGAGCTATACGAATTTGAGCGAAATCGGCAAGAATCCTCGAGAATTGCTGCTTACCTTAGCGGCAACAAACTTCAGTTTCGCTCAATTCAAAACCATTCAGTCACAATAAAAGCGTAGGTCATGCAATTGCTTTATAGTGCTCGCAGCTTGCAAGGCGCCTTTGTCGAATGCAAAACTCGAATGTACTTCAGCTTAAAGTGAGCATGTAACAGACGCGTGTTTAAGCATGTCAGTAGCATGTAATTTGGCCAACCTGACCCATATGTCCATATGTTCACAGTAATCCTCAGTGTAGAGCTTTGGTCAGTGCACGACATAAAATATACGCGTAAGTCATTCTGAATTTATGAAATACATTCTCTGGATCACATGCTTGGCGCTAAATTCAAGTTCCATAAATAGTATGCGGAAAAAAATAAATGTAGCACTATATTAATGTATCGAAATTTTATCGTCAGAGAGTTCTTTTTTGGTGACACTTGTCACAAGTGGTAACACTTGTTTGACCAGTATCGTGCTCTTCCGCACATTTCTAAAATAACCTACATTTTACACTTTTAATTTCAAAAAGTAGACTGTGTGTATGCATAACACAGAATATATAGAATTTAATTAGATTTGCAGTTTTTGATCTGAAACATTTTTCAGTATTAATAGATTAATAGAACTCGAGGCAAAATAATACACAACATTATGCAGTGTAATGTGATGTGTGATTAGCTTTGCAACATGTAACTCACAAAACAGCATAGGAAAGTAATCAGCTTTTGTTTGCAGTAAATGAACGTTATGGCGAATGAAGTATACAGAATCGTAAAAGATATAATCAGCGTATGTGCTTTGAAATTCACCTTTCCATATTCGGTACAGTAGAGTGCATGTTTCTTAGATTAGATGTCATTCTCTAACGAGCTGTTCAAATTTAGCAGAGCTGAAGTCTCGGATTCTGTGGCCAGAAACATAGGACCTGTTGTTACTGCTATCGTCACCACTAGAATCTGGCAGTAAGCAGATTTGTTCCATCTTCGAAGTTAACAGCTCATTAATTTAAACATAGCCCCTATCCCACAGACTCAAATGCCCCTACCGCATGACAGGTGTTCAAGATAACAGCCTTGGAGTAGTCTGACGTCCGGATCTAGGTTCTTAAGCTGTTTATCTACTATCTCACATGTGATGCTGGCTGCTGATATTTATATGTGTAAATTGTGACTTCATTTAAAATTTTAAATCAATTGCGTGAACAGCGCATGTATTCTGTCTTTTCGAAAATAATTGTATAATGTTGTTTAATGATACGGCTAGTTCTAATTTATTATTAATATTACTGTTTTAGAAGCCGGGATATCGCAGTTGGTACAATGATTGGCTGCGAGCTGGACGACCGAGGGTTCGGAGTTCGAGTCCTGTTAAAGGTAAGATTTCTCTCTTCTCCACGTTATTCAGAACGTTATAGGGCTCACCTAGCGTCCTATCCAATGGGTAAAGGGGGCTCTTTCCCGGGGTAAAGCGGCCAGCTACCTCCAACTACTGCCGAGGTTCAGAAAGTGTGGGTCTATATATCCTTTCCGTAGTGCTTAATTAGTTAAGCACAGGACAACTGTACCTTATTACTATTGCTGTTTTGTATATTAACATTTCTTACTTTCTTCCTTTAGCGTTTGCATTTTTTAAACACGTAGGATATTCGGAGCTTTGCCACAGTAGTCATTGTATTTTGCACGATGAAAAATTTATCACTACACTTAAAGAATCTAGCAGTACAAAGTGATTACGGTTGCTTTATCCTATTCTCATTCCTGAAAATGCTGTACCAATATGGAGTTATTCTTTATTATTTCAGTTACCTTAACATTCTGAAGCCTAAAAGAAATCTGAATTATATATATTTAAGAATTCAGTTCGTACATCATAGAAAATACACTATTTTTCTATTATAAAGACAGCCTGGTGTGTCTTTGTTGTTGTTTATTCTGAGAATCATACGAAATGCTTGCAGTGGGTGGACAAGATGCAGAGGTGTGAATGTTAAGAAGCTGGTATATATATTTACCGCTGTGATTTGAAAGGTTAATTATTACCTCTTCTCATTTCTGCGTAGGTTTATTTGTAATTTATTGCGCAGGATTCACATATATATTACTGTTATTATCATTATTATTATAACTTAAAATTGTACACTTTATTAGAAAGATGACTTTATTTTGACGCATTGCTTATAAGGAAACTTTGTGACGGTTTTATTACCTAGCCTTCACTTTTAGAAGAGCTCCAGCGAGAAACGCTAGCAACTTTAATACCTTTATACTTCATTTTCACGTAATAAATGTTGTTCTTTTCGCTGTGCTCTAGCCGCAAATGAAATCTTCAACAACACGTCACAGTATGTTTGCCGATCACTTCTTGATCATTAATCTTTCGACTAGTTTTTTAATCGGTATTTGAAGCGTTTTATTAATTCAGTACTATTACAAGGTATATTTATTCTGTCTCTACTAAGCAAACATATCTTACACGTACGTATCTGTCCTACTTGTGTCTTTATTTCCTTTCTATTTTTACGTTCTCGATTATGTCGAATCTTTAAAGTGGTTTAGGCAGCTGTTGAGTTATCACTTAGAACTAAACACTTGAGTTACTGCTACTTGTTTACATGCTGACTGTAATTGGCCGCTGGCTGTTTAGTTCAGCAATTACATAAATAAATAATTTAATTGAATTATTATTGTATCGGTGTCCATTGTCCAGAACAAGGGAGGACTGAAAACAATTCTTGTCTCATGTAACGCCTTATCGTCAAGGAGAAGCTCACATTAAGTGAATAATATTTCATCTTGGAACAGATTTCAAGTACTAACTAGTTTGCAGTTACCTTGAGCATTCACGGAGCATACATTAAATTGCCACGTATTTACCAATCGCGAAGCGTTTAGGTTGCCCACTCAGACTTTACGACCTCCTACAAATTCAGCACGTGTAACGCGGAACTGGAATTCTGCGCTTGCTACTGCTGTTTCATAACAGTAACCTACACTAGAAAAGTTAGTTGACTTTCATTGTATCTAATGATCATTATCAATTTGATTTAGAGCTGGCCTTGTAAGCTGCATTCTGCTAAGTAGCGATGATAGCTTTGATAAATGTTATTAAATTCATCGCGTCAACCAATCTTGTTTGCGCAGGCGCATATATAGTTCAGTTCGAATAACATTTATAAATCACAGCTTCCATAAAATTGCAATAAAAGATTATATACTTGTTGTGGATGCATGCTGGATATATTAGTTCGATTGCAACTGTTTTTAATGCAGGCGATTTTGTATAAGAGTAAAGTAGTTCTTCAATTAGGAATTTGTGTGGAAGTGTGCATGACCTCATACTTGAGGAGTACACATTGAAGAGCTTTATGTGTATTTCTCGGTAACTTATATTAGAGGCCTCAACTCAAAGAGAGTGAGATTGGCTGGGTATGGAGCACACGTGAGAGCGATACTAAAACTTTATTTTAAAATGTGAGGTGAAGATACCATTAGGAGATTCAGGCGTAGATGGGAGGATAACATTAACACGCATCATAAACCAATAGCGTGCGAGAACGTGGACTGGATTCACCTTACTTACGGAAGGGTGCAATGGTGAGCTCTCCTGAACATGGAAATGAACCTTCAGATGCCGGAAGTGACTGGTAATTTTGTTACCGTCAGAGTTCTTCTCAAAGGATTTGTTCTGTGGAGCTACTTAGCTAGTTACTTTGTTAATTGTCTGGTTACTGAATTAGTGTGCTACTCACTTCATTTTCTAGGTGTGTAATGTACAAGTGTGTAGTGTACAAGTGTGATACAAACCAAATGTTTGTATGGCCCGATTATTGCGACGTTGCTAAATGTATTCAGAATTTTATTTTGTTTTCTGTAGAAACCATCAGGCGAATTAAATACTATAATACGCAGTACTTTCTCCAAGTATAATTAGAATGATCAAGTCAAGGAGGATGAGGTGGGCAGGTCATATAGCACGAGTGGGGGAGACGAGGAATGCGTATAGGATATTGGTGGGAAAGCCAGAAGGAAAGAGACCACAAGGAAGACCAAGGCGTAGGTGGGTGGACAATATTAGAATGGATCTTAGAGAGACTTGAGTGATGGTATGGATTGGATAGATGTGGCTCAGGATAGGGACCAGTGGAGGGCTCTTGTGAACACGGTGATGAACCTTCGGGTTCCATAAAATGCTGGGAAATTCTTGAGTAGCTGTACAATTGGCGGCTCCTCTAGAAGGGCTCAGCTCCATGAGTAAGTAAGTAAGTACGAGTAAATACGCAATACTTTCATTTGGAACATTTCTGATTCGTCATGAAATCTCCAAAGCCCTCCAGGAGATTCTTTGTCGACTACCTTAAAATAAAAATCCGCTGTTTTTCCTTACTTTCTGTTCACAATCATTCTTATATTCCCCCCCCCCAAAAAAAAAAAAACATGTCCACACAACTGTATGACTTAAAGCTATAGAAACAAAGGACAATGCTCGCTCAAAAAACAGAGAGTTCCATTGAGGGAAAGGAGTGGGGGGGCCATACGTAATATAATGTTTGTTACATAAGTGTCTGATTGAGCGACCCCAGTGAGACGAGAGATACATAAAAGCTCGCTGGTATCCGATGTGAGTCAGTTCAATATTAATTGTAGTTCGTCAGATGCAGATTCCTAGTGTTTACGTGCCTGCCACAGTGTACAGACAAACAGAACATTGCTGTTCAGCAAACAACGAGCATTCGTCCAGTCTCATTCGATTATATTAGACAATAACCAGTGAACTGCTCAGAAAAATATATGTTCGACACTGCAATGCTAAAACACAAACTTAATGTTACCATAAGATAAGCATGTACGGGAATAATCTTTTAATGTGTTCATTCTTTTGAAAAGCAACTTGTATATTGCTCTGGAGATATCTGAAAAATAAAACAAAAAGGCTCTTAATAGAATGTTTAAAGATATTGGTGGACAAGTTTGTCTTTGACGTTGCAAATTAGTTAAATAAGTCAACGGGTTGGGGGGGGGACAACGGGAGAGCAGCGCGGCGCACCTGGACAGCATTCCGCAGTACACCGCCGCGCCTCACTAAACTTGTCACATTTTCCAAAGTAAGCGTCATTATAAATAATACGAGTATGGCATTCATCAAGGGACTTTTAACTTTTAATCGAAGGTAAAATATTCACATTTTTCATTTTAAACCATATATTGAATTTTATACCTCCGAAACGTCGGATTTTTATCGATGCCGTACTAATACATACATACTAATGGGGCACACAAAAATAACAGCGATAACAGCACAGAAATATTCACAGGGCTAAAGAAAACAACACAGAAAACACGGACACCGGAAGAAGGTAGTGCAAGAAAAGTTATAGAATGTTCTCAAGCAAATATTTGTTAATGTGAACAACGAAAATACAATAACAGTGGAATATTTTAACTTAATAATCAATACAGTGTAGAAATTTCAACAAATGAACATTTTCCTAAGGATGGCCAACTAATGCCGAAACATGTAGCAAGCAGTTTAATTGTAAGTGTAATATTTTAAATTAAGTAGAAATTGTAAACAAAGTTGCACTAAAGACGGAAGTAAGTGTGTAAAGCTCCAGAATTGTATTCGGGAGATGACTGGTTCCAGTCTCGGCTGGGACAGTGGCAATTTTGATTAAAGTTTTGTGGTGTTTCCCAGTCTTCCGTGTAGATGCTAGAATAGTACCTCTATTAGGTTAAGACCGCTTCCTTTCAAATCCTTAGTGCCTTAGTCTAGATACGGATAAGGTAAAGCTATCCCTGTAAGAAGACGTGAAGGCCCAGAGGGCTGTGAGACGTCGAAGCTCCCATATTTTCTAGACAACTGGCACACAGATGGCGGTAAGGTTGTCAGCCTTACGCGACGGCCGCCATTTACCACCCTGAAAATTCTTGGTACTCATTTTTATTAGAGGCTGAGTCGACGTCAGGGCCATAGTGCGGCTGGAAGGATTAGGTCAATTGGAAAAAAAAATAATCCATCTCAACGGGACTCGAACCCGCGACCTTCCCGTTTGTAACATAATGCCTCAACCAACTACGCTAACATGTGCGTATCTCTGAAGCTAATGGCCGCGCCATAGCTTAAGCGGTTAGTCCCTGGCTTCCCACTGCGGCGGCCCGGGTTCGATCCCGGGTCTGGTCAAGTTGGATTTGTGGTGGACGAAGTGGCGCTGGGGCGGGTTTTCTCCGAGTACTTTGGTTTCCCCTGCCAATCTTCATTCCACCAAATTTTCCATCATCATAATCACCCGGGGCAGGCTACAATAGGCCAATTAGTGACCGCCGTGCCGAGTGGACCTAGTCGGACTCCACCCCCCACTAAGTGAATTAAAAAAAGA